TCCAGACCTGAATATTATTGAGGCTGTCTGAAATCACCAGGACAGAAAAAGAAATATACGACACTCTAAACCTGAAGTAGAACTCTGGAAAGTGCTAAAAGAAGCCTGATATTACACAGCACATCATTGCAGGACAATTAAAACAAAAAGTAGTGCCAAAGGAAGACGTTTGCTGAGAAACAGAACATTAAACAGTCATGAAATGGCCTCCACAGAGTCCAGACCTGAATAGTACTGAGGCTGCACGAGATCACTTGGAAAGAAAAAAAAGATGACACTGATAACCTAAAAAGGAACTCTGGAAAGTTCTAAAAGAAGCCTGATATTACACAGCACATCATTGCAGGACAATTAAAACAAACAGTAGTGCCAAGGGAAGACTTTTGCTGAAAAACTGAACATTAAACAGTCATGTAATGGTCCAGACCTGAATATTATTGAGGCTGTATGAAATCACATGGAAAGAAAAAGAAAGATAAGACACTCTAAACCTAAAGAACTCTGCAAAGTGCTAAAAGAAGGCACACAGCACATTGTAGCAGAAAATGTCAGGACAATTAGAACAAACTTATTGCTTTGTACATTACATTGCATCAACAAGCAGTTGGACAGGTGTACCTAATAAAGTGGCCGGTGAGTGTATAATATTAGCACTATAAGTGAACATCAATAAACATATTAAAACATTGTTATTAATTATAAAATCCATGTCATTTCAAAGATACTCATTTAATATGGCACTTTACTGATAAGTTCTATAGGCTTACGCAGAGTAACTGAAAACATAAATCATGGAGCACACAAAGAAGTGAAGATAAATGTTCATGGGAAAGAGGCAATGTTATAAGAAGTATGCTATATGGAGTCTCACCCTAAACCATGAAACTCGTCCCATATAATTACAGAGCGTCGACAACAATTCCCTGGAAAATGAACAAACCCTTCGCAGGGTTTTATATTTTTGCTAGAATGAGCAATGGATTCTCTTATATACTATTATGAGTCAAAGCAGAAGAATCAGTGGAGAGTTTGCTGCTCTGTGGTTTACAATGAGTCACAGCTCAAAACCACAGTTCCCCCCGGAGGAATGTGCTGGAACCTCAACATCTCTCCAAATTGACATTTTCTGCCTTTCGCAGGCCAATGAAAGAGCCAACGTCGCATCCACAGAATGAAGCCACACACTATATAGGAGGAAGACACTTGAAGCTCTGATCTAGCTTGTGAAGCTCGGTCTGAACTGGGCGTGCTTGAATGTACACTGAAAGATAGAACTGGGAAGTCATGACAGTTTTAGGAAATGACCACTTTCATTATGAGTTTTTATTACGGTGCAAGTGTAACGAAGGCCAGCTAGTGAGTGCTGTGCAGGTAAAACCTCACTCCTCTGACCTCTAAAGGTGCTCTAGCGACAGACGCTAGAGGCCATGGTCTTTAGCCTCCTTGGAAGAGCAACCAACTCCCATGCGGAAGGTTGCCGGTTCATGGGATATTCTAGTGTCCTTTGGATTCACACTACAGAGTATGGAAAGTGATACAGTAGGTCGTCCGGATACCCCAGTGTTCTAATATTTGCATGTGTTTTCTTAATTTACAGTGTAACAGCAATGAGGCCGGCTAGTGTTAGAGCAACCGATTCCCATGCGGAGAGTCACTGGTTCAATCCCAGCTCGGAGCGGGTTGGGTGGTGTATTACTGGTGGGGTTACATTGGTGCCGTGACCCAGATGGGAGCGAGGTTTAAGGGGATGAATGTAACAGAGGCAAGCTAATGAAGTGCTGTGCAGGTAAACCTCACTCCTCTGACCTCTAAAGTTGCTCTAGCAACAGATGCTAGAGGTCATGGTCTTTAGCCTCCTTGGTAGTGCAACCGACTCGCATGCCTAAGCAAAGTCAGACCTTACTGTCCTAATTAAATCATTAAAAATCAAGACATGATCATATTTTATTTTGGTAAAATAAGCGTAATCAAGAGGCCTTTGCCTTTTATATAAGCCACTTCTGATACCAAATGATTAGCTAGAAATGAAATATTTTGTTGTTCCTAAAATGTGGATAAGCAACAAGACTTTAGTCAGGAAGTGTACATGTGCTAAAAAAAATCAAGAAATTATATTATAAACCTTTTTTAATATTGGCAAAAAGGTAAACAAATGTACAACAACTCATTAAGATGTAATTTATGTTTCCATTAAGTTAAAAAGTTATTGATTAATGTGGACTAGCCAAGTTTAAATGTAATATAATATAGATTTTTGCCATACCAAAAGTGGACGTTCCCTGTTGAACGACCCGTGCGTTGATGCCTGAATTCCCACCTTGAAAAACATCCTTCAGAGGTTTCCCGCGTTTCCAGCATAGCTAATACCAAATGTAGCAGTTAAGAAGGACATTGAGTTGTGAATTTAGGCATTTTTACTCGATGGTTCCCCCTGCAGGCCGTCAGCTGAAAGTGTCCAGACTCCTCTATTCTCATGTTAATGCGTGTCAGTGAAGGAGAACGGGACAGAAGCCGGATTAACTCTTTGTGCGGGAAGACAAAAGATGGCGGCAGATGGCCGAGCGGGATCCGTGTGCTGGACTTTTCTCAAAAAGTTTCTGTCAGTTTATACATACATTCATCTCTCGCAGATGGCGAGCCGATAATAAAGTTTTGCATTTCGTTTGCATTAAATGTAAGATGCAGTTGAGGAAAAAACGACTTACTTTCACATCACCTCATATCTTTAGACGTGAATTTAAAAAAATAGGCTACTCTCTTTTGCAACAACAATTTAGCTTTTTCAAAAATCTAAGACAATTTATTACCAGATTAATTTTGGGTTTTATTGTTGTATGTCAATATTTCAAATGCTATATCTCAAACATCTGCAGAAAAATAAAACCTCCCTGCTGAGAAAAAACAGCTTAAACCAGCCTAGGCCGGTTGGCTGGTTTCAGCTGGTCGACCAGGCTAGTTTTAGAGGGGTTTTGGCCATTTCCAGCCTGGTCTTAGCTGGTCAGGCTGGGAGATAACCAACTAAAACCAGCTTAGCCAGGTTGAGAGCCCAGCCTAAACCAGCTATGTCCAGCTTAAACCAGGCTGGTCAAGCTAGTTTTAGATGGATTTAGCTGGTCATTTTCCAGCCTGACCAGCTAAGACTAGGCTGGAAATCATTCTAATGGCCAAAACCCTTCTAAAACCAGGCTGGTCAACCAGCTAAAACCAGCCAACCAGCCTAGGCTGGTTTAAGCTGGATTTTTCAGCAGGGCGTTATTTGTTCTAGTTAATGTTATATTTCAAACAGGTGATGAGCGTAACACTGAACAACAATATATAGCTGTTCTTTATGTTTTAAGCTAAATGTTTATTCATATTGGTAATTGGGAGTTTGAGACTGTGTTAGAATCCATATGCAGAAGTTTATTCATGGGACATCACAGAGACATCAATGGGTAAACAAGCAGAGAGTTGGCAACATGTAAGCAGTCCAAACCAAACAACAAACGGGCAATTCCTGGAGACATAGTAGTAATTCAAGCAGAGGATCAGTGCAACAATGATCAGTCCAAAACAGATCAAGATACACAGGGGCAAATTCAGAGGATGTGGTGAAAAGGCAGGCAAAAGTTCAAGGCAACAGTGAGCAGAAAAGGGCAAGAGGGCAAAAACAGATAACGTACTTGATCAAGGTAGGCAGGATCATACACAGTAAAACAGTCATGAAAGTCACTTGGAATAGTGCTTGGTAATGCAGGTAAACTGGCAATACTTGGCAAGGAAGCATGGCCTGAGCTCTTGCTGAAATACAGCACAAACAGGAAGTGACTGCAGAGGGAGCGGAGCTGAGTCAGTAGTCGGATGAGGGCTCCCTCTGCTGGCGTGGCGTTACAATATTGTTAATTCAAGTAAGTCTTTTTTTAAGCCTTTTATGAATATTTTCTAGCTTTATTTATGGTATTAAAATTCATTTTATATGCATTTTCATTAATCAAAATAAATCAAATTTTAATCTATATTGTGTTAAGCATTCTTCTTATTTTCAGCTGTGTAATCTCTTCAGTCCTTTTGTGAATGAGCATTTATCTAAAATATTGTTTAACTGACACCCACCGGCCACTTTAATAGGTACACCGGTTTATTTAACATGATAATGAGTGTACTTACTCAAATGGCCTCCACAGTCACCAGATCTCAATCCAATAGAGCACCTTTGGGATGTGGTGGAAAGGAAGATTCACATCATGGATGTGCAGCTGATAAATCTGCAGCAACTCTGTGATGCTATCATGTCAATATGGAGCAAAATCTCCGAGGAATATTTTCAGTACCTTGTTGAATCTATGCCATGAAGGATTAAGGCAGTTCTCAAGGCAAAAGGTTGTCCAACCCGGTACTAGGAAGGTGTACCTAATAAGTGCCCAGTAATAACAATATAGTTATTTTCTTCTTTTCTATGAGTCTCTATGCATTGTTTTTTTGTCTCATGTTTTTACTTTGTCATGCTAGAGATACTGCATTGTTTACGTTTTGAGACTTCTTTTTTTTTTCTCCCTTTCAAGGAAATCTCTAAATTTAGTTCTCACATGTCAAATTGGGTTAAGAAAGTGAAAGCGGACTCTTCTCACAGATAATCAAATCATTCTCTTTTCTCAGAATTGCCTTCATTCCTCTCAACAATGATCTTTAGGAAAGGGCTGTCAAGCTGGCGTTAAATAAACTTATGAAGTCAGTTTTCTCACAAAAACAACCACATGTAGGAACTAACAGATTTTATCACAATTACCAGAGCCACCAGTCACAAATATATTCATATTTTGATAATTTGGGTGCAGGGGGGCCAAGCACACCATTGTTTTTCTTGTGAAATTCCCAATAAGCTTGATGCGTCAAATGAACCTCTTCCTATTGAAAAAACAAAAGTTGGATCCAAGATGGCCGACTTCAAAATGGCCACCATGGTCACCACCCATCTTGAAAAGTTTGCCCCTCACATATACTAATGTGCCACAAACAGGACATTATTATCACCAACCATTCCCATTTTATTAAGGTGTATCCATATAAATGGCCCACCCTGTAGAATAAGATCTACGTTATAAGTACTAATATACAGTTAATAAGCAGGTAATAAACCTATTAAATAGTGAGATTTCTTTCACATTTAGAAAGAACCAAAAAAAACAGACATTTTTATTTCCTTTCGCACACTTTCACCATAAATGAATAATCCAAAGAGTAAACATCTATACAGTTGAATCACAGACATTTAAACAAAAATGTACAATACTTAACACACTTGTCTGTACAGGTATTTGTAAAATCCTAAAATATGTACATCTAAAAAAATAAAAACAAAGACCACGTTAAAAACAGGTCAATTTTAAACTCCTAAAAAGATTTTAAGGGTAAAGTTGAGAAAACGGAGCGTAGATTTCATACAAGAACACAGGGGCTTTAAATACATACTGTATGAGGGTGAAAATGATGTAGAAATATTACCGTGACATGTTTTAAAGTCACTAATGTTCCACAAGTTATCATATTTACAATTTTCAACCCCCAAAAAGTCCAAAATCCTATTTAAAACAACGGTTTAACTGGTAAAGCATTACAAACACATCTTATCAAGACAATAAATGATGTGAACAAGCAAATAAATAAGTTTAAAACGATCCCAAATAATCAAAGAGAGGAGTTTGGCTCTGAAATTTAGAGAAAACTGACCAACCATCGTTTTACTTCAGTTCCTCGATGTGTATCTCCAGTGTTGAGGAGTGTTTGTTTGAGTGTGTAACGGTCTTGTGGTCTTCACAGGCTGGTCTCTGTGTAAACGCGTGCAGCAGGGACAGCAGTGTTGGGGCCGTACAGCGACTGGCGCTGAGGTCGAGTCTGAACCATCGGTTTCTCCACATCGCTCTTGTGTTTCTCTCCGATCTCCTGCAGCAGGAGCACATTCGCGTCTCGCCACTGTCTGTATTTAGACCTGTTTAGAGATGGTTCACTCAAAACCTGCTCGATGGCCTGCAGATCAGCCTCCTTAGCCTGAAACCCCGCACGAACACACATACAGAGACAGAGAGAATCACATGCTGGTTAGTTTAAGCCAGGCATGGTTTTGGTTCATCAATGCTGCCATCTAGTGTCTGTAGACTTGCTGGAAATTAAGAATTGTAGCTTGCACCATGTATATTTTTTTGTATTTTGAAATGTATGGTTGTGAAGCAACAGAAGGTGATCAAACACATTTTGGAAAAAAAACACACTCAGATTTAAAGGGATAGTTCACAAAAAAACTACAAGTCCTTATCATACAATAAAGTGGTTCTAAGTTGTTCATGTATTTAAAACCAAAAAGTTAACTCAACTTTAAATCATAAGGCAGCTTACAGCAGAGCTTTTTTTTAGTTGACCTAAATTGAGTCAAGTGGAGTACTTGGGTTAAAAGCTGAATCATTTCAAAGAAGCTGTACAGCAAGTTTAGTCAATTTCTTTTTACAATGCAAAAAAATGCTTTTATTATTTTTTTTTGCATTGTTTCTAGGCCAAATATTAAAAAATATCTTAAATAAAGCAGCATTTTTTAGACAAGCAAGCAAAATTGTCTTGTTTTAAGAAATAATATTGCAAAATTAAACAGGTTTTCACTTAAAATAAGCAAGATTATCTTGTTTTTCCTGTTGACATACCATTATTTTGCTTACCTGGCTTGTTTTAGGGGAAAACTCAATTTTTACATATTTTTTTCTTTAAGAAAAAGACATTATGCTTTGCTTGTCTAGAACACAAGACTAGAAACTAGACTAGAAACCAGAACTTTTTTTTGCACACTTTACAATCTACAGTGCATCTGGAAAGTATTGGTAGCTCTTCACTTTTTCCACTCTTGTTAATGTTACAGCCTTATTACAAAACGGATTAAACTCATATATTTCTTCTAAATTCTGCACACAATATCCCATAATGACAACGTGAAAAGAGTCTTTGAAATTGTTACAAATTTATCAAAAATAAAAAAACCCTGAAAAATCACATGTACATCAGTATTCAGCTGCGTTTGACTATACTGACTGGACTTAATAATCACATTTCTTATGTAAGTGTTTGTGTTTTATGCAATAAAAAGTCTAATATCATTTCTTTGCCGTTTAAAATATTTAGTGTTTTTTTTTTTTATATGACAGCTGGTTAGAAAAACTTGTTTTATGTTTTGTGACTGAAAAATCAGGATCTTGTTTTACCAAACATTGCTTTAACACTTTTAAAGTGAAAGCACTGATACTGTGTTGTTCAAAAACAATGAAGTCATCAGCTGAACACGGAAACAATACAAAAAAAAAATAAAAATTCAGAAAAACTCAGCATTTTACTGGTTGCCTGTTTTAATAGTTTTTCTTCATATTTTCCTTTTATCTTTTTTGTTGCTGTTGTTAAAACACATGCACATGTACACACCGAATAAGTATGCAGTATTTCTATTCTTAAATGTTATGATTGACCAATCAGAATCAAGTATTCCAGAGAGTTGCATACCAATATACAGTTGAAAGTCAGAATTATTAGCCTCCCTTTGCTTTTTTTTTCCTTTTTTAAATATTTCCCAAATGATGTGTAGAGCAAGGAATTTTTCACAGTATGTCTGATAATATTTTTTCTTCTGGAGAAAGTCTTATTTGTTTAATTGTTGCAACAATAAAACCAGTTTTTAATTTTTTAAATCCATTTTAAGGTCAAAATTATTAGGCCCTTTAAGCTTTATTTTTTTCCAATAGTCTACAGAACAAACCATCGTTATACGTTAACTTGCCTAATTACCCTAACCTGCCTAGTTAACCTAATTAACCCAGTTAAGACTTTAAATGTCACTTTAAGCTGTATAGAAGTGTCTTGAAAAATATCTAGTCAAATATTTTTTACTGTCAACATGGCAAAGATAAAATAAATCAGTTATTAGAAATGAGTTATTAAAACTAACATGTTTAGAAATGTGCTGAAAAAATATTCTCTCCATTAATAAAATATTCAGGGGGGCTAATAATTCTGACTTCAACTGTATATTATCAAAAGTATTATACTGCTATTTCTTTTACATTTGCATTTAGTGATTTATCAGACGCTTTTATCCAAAGCGACTTACAAATGAGGACAAGGAAGCAATTTACACAACTATAAGAGCAACAATGAATAAGTGCTGTAGGCAAGTTTCAGGTGTGTAAAGTCTAAGAAGGAAAGCATTAGTAATTTTTTTATTTTATTTTATTTTTTTGTAGTTAGTTATGGAGTCAGAGAGGTAGTTGCAGATTAGTAAGGGAAAGTGGAGACTAAACAGTTGAGTTTTTAGTCGCTTTTTAAAGACAGCGAGTGACTCTGCCGTTCTGATGCAGTTAGGGAGATCATTCCACCAACTGGGCAGATTGAACACGAGCATTCGGGAAAGTGATTTCTTCCCTCTTTGGGATGGAACCACGAGGCGACGTTCATTCACAGAACGCAAGTTTCTGGAGGGCCTATAAATCTGCAGAAGTGAGAGCAGATAAGAAGGCCCGCAGCCAGAAATCGCTTTGTAAGCAAACATACATATAAATACATTCACACACACAGTTCTCTGAAGTACATGACTTAGTTTAAAAACAATGAAATAAGATATAAAATGAGAAACACTGTGGGTAACAGCATATCTGGCATTTTTTGCGTCATATGTACAGTATATATCTATATCTACACACACTAAAACTATTTTATAAAAATAAAAAAACTTCAGCGATTGTCTGCTTTTCTAGTCGGACACCAAAATAGGACATCTGATGGATCTTTGACCCACATGCATTCGTACAGCTTGTCTTTCTGAGAATAAGGACCTAAAACCCTGATGAGTCACAATGAGATTGGAGCGTCTTGTCCAATCAAACACTTCCTACACTTCACACATAGAAAGCATTAATAACATTGCTCTATGACCACACACACATAGCACATAAAATATATTAATAATGTGAGGGAGTGAACTTGGCTTCTCTTCATACTGAGGCACAGGAAGTCATATATCTCTTAATGTTTGACCACTGACAGTCGTCATTGTATGATCATTATTAACTAAATGGACCGGTTGTACTAAAGCAGGGGTTCCCAAGCTTTTCAGCCCGCGACCCCCAAAATAACAATGCCAGTGACTCGCGACCCCCAATATCCTCGGAGGTGGTTATAAATACAGAAGCCTTGCATGCAATGACGCAGACGCACCAATTAAATTTGTGTCAGTGCTTTAAATGTGCCAGAAAGTATAACCTGATGTTATAAAATCAAAAAGCATCTGACGCTATTGCTGCCTTTAATATAATGTAATTACCCCAGGGGTCGCAATCCAATAGAACTAGTAACTATAAGCTACTATAGTAATTATATAGTATATAGTAACTATAAACGACTATTTTTATTGTCAGTATAGTTATGGATAAAATATGTTAATTCTTATGGTTTAATAAAAATAGATTTTTGGAAATCACCAGGGAACCCCCCTTCATTGCCCCGCGACCCCTCGGGGGGTCCCCCCCCCACTTTGAGAACCACTGTACTAAAGTTTAAGGAATGCTTTCATGAGACACATTGTAGTTCCACATTTAACCTCATATAGATTTCAGTGTTCGGAAACATTTAGCAAATGCACTATAAACCTACAGAAAACCCAAAGCTGTTTTGAAATATACACCTATGAAGCAATAAGAGATGATCAAGCACTTTTTTTTTTGAAAGAAAGAAAGAAAGACTGACTTCAAGGGACAGTTCACCCACAAATGAACATTTTCACCATTTGGTCTAAAAAAATGTGATTTTCTTTCTTCTGTTTAACACGAAAGGAGATGAACTAAAGGGTGTTGGAATAAAGCAGCCATTCATATCTATAGTAGAAATAAAAATACTACAGAAGTCAATGGCTATTTTTCCCCCCAACATTCTTCCTTTGTGTCCAACAGACAAAATAAAGCAGCTTTGGAACAGATGGAGGGTAAATAAATGATGGGATGCACGATATATCGTTATCGGCGGATAAATGCTATTTTTGAGATTGTACAGTCAAACCGATCTGCTTCTTCTTTTTTTTTTCCAATTAAATTAAATCGTTTATTATTATCTTGTTCACAGTCACAGATATTTTAAGTGTGAGTTTCAGAACTTGTCTTGAGTTTATTACATCTGAGAGACTGCTGCAAATTCACTACACATCTATTAATATACTGTATTCAAACAGCAATTAATTTAGTTGAATTGACATGCAAACATAAAGCATAGTGCAAATATAAATACCTCTTTATTAAATATAGGCTGTTAAACAAACAGAAATAATAGAACGTGATGACGTCATTGATATGCAAATTAAAGTATGATGTAATCTAGTGACTTTTAGCAACTTTTCGGGCAGAGCTTAGCACCTTTTCGTTGAAAATAGTTGGCAACAGTGGCTGAAACATGGCCCTTTAAATCTCACTTTAAGCTGACCCTGCTAAAAAAATCGAGCTTAAACCTGCCTAGGATGGATTTAGAGGGGTTTTGGCCACTTCCAGGCTGGTTTCCAGCCATTTCCAGCCTGGTTTTAGCTGGTCAGGCTGAGAGATGACCAGCTAAAACTAGCTTGATCAGCCTAGCCAGGCTGGGAGCCCAGCCAAAACCAGCTATATCCAGCTTAAACCAGGATGGTCAAGCTGGTTTTAGATGGTTTTAGCTGGTCACTTTCCAGCCTGTCCAGCTAAGACCAGGCTGGAAATGGCTGGAAACCAGCATGGAAGTGTTTAAAACCCCTCAAAAACCAGGCTGGTTGACCAGCTAAAACCAGCCAACCATATAGGCTGGTTTAAGCTGGATTTTTCAGCAGGGGAATACTAGCATCTTGAAAAATATCTAGTCAAATATTTACTGTCATCATGGCAAAGATAAAAGAAATTAGTTATTAGAGATGAGTTATTAAATCTGTTGTTAAGAAATGTGCTGAAAAAAATCTTCGTCAAACAGAAATTGAGGGGGAAAAAATAACGGAGGGCTAATAATTCTGACTTCAACTGTATATTAGCATAGATAGTATTGTTTGTTCCACAATTATCATCAATAGTTCATGAGACAGGTTGCCTGAGGGTAGAAACCGTTCTGGTGAAAAGTGAAAACTTAAACCGGCTAAACAGAAAACAAACACCAGTTTCTACTTCAGTGTAAACAATCTAAGCAATTTCTAGATTACATAATGATTGAGTTTCATTTAGAGCAAAACTAGCAAACTAGAAGCTTCCAATGTTTAAGCAGGCACATATTGCTCACCTTTAAAGTGCTGTTTAGAGCTCTGATCAAGTGCAGTTTGTCATTAATGTTCTCATCTTTGCAGCGTCTGATGAAGGAGGATCTGAAGTCGCGTTTGGTGAAGGGCTGCAGGGCTCCAGTGGGAGACAAACTGGCCTCCTTCAGATGGAGATACAGCATCTCCATCTCGTCTGATGCAGGACCTGATGTGAAGTGACATTTAAAGTGTTTTCTCTTGCAAACCAATTTGCCAGATTCATGCCTAATAAATGTCCATAGCCTTTTTTCCTTTACCTACCACTCTACCAAGCTAACTGGCTAATAAAAAAATAGGATTTGAGTAGGGGTGTCCCGATTTCGATTTTTAATCGAAGTCAATCGAAATTTATGCTCAATTTCGATTATCGAATCAAAAAATAGAATCGTCGATGCTGCCACGCCCCCATGTCACGTCAGCTTGTCTTGCCAAGCGGGAAAAAACAGGCTTGTTGAAGTGCTTGTTAAACTGCAGACGCAGGAGACCCGTCGACAGAGCTTAAACCCTCTCCTCTTTCGATGAAGTCGCCGGTGTTTAAGCATTTTGGATTTCCAGTGAGTTATGTTGACAACGTTCGTGTTGTCGACAAAAAAAAAACACAGTTTTGCAAGCTCTGCTATGTACATATTACGTACGGTTCGTCCGATAGACAACACCGGCATCGCGATCCTCCGCCCGCCCCCGTTGCAAATCCGCTCGCGAAAAGTACACACTCAGGCCCTGTTTACACTGTCTTTGTTTTTAAATGGCATTTTAGAACGACAACGATTTGACATCCACAGGGGCGTGTAGCATTTCTGAGCAGCCCTCCTTCCTCTCTACCGCTGAAAATGCACATCACGTGACCACACAGACACAGACGTACTCACAGTCATGCGCTCGAGACAGCAGGTCCAGGCAGTCAGAGGACTGCTTCAATCTTTCACTCACTTGTACTTAGTCATTTTAGCGAACACCTCAGATACTGTTGGCTGGTTTCTGTTGGTTGTGCGTCTTTTTTACTGACGCCATTATAACGACACAGATCACTGCCTATTCACGAGTCCCGCAGAAAAAGTGATTGACAGGTGGTAATTATGTGTGTATCTTGCCTTTATTCATTTACTGTATGATTTGTTTATGGGTAAAACAAAGACCATGCAGGTCAGGTAGTTTAAACGGTAGGCTACAAATAATTAATTGGTCATTAATTAATTAATTATTCATAATCGAAAATCGAATCAAATCGTGCCTTTAGAATCGAAAATGTAATCGAATCGAGGATTTGGAGGATCGTGACACCCTTAGATTTGAGGCAGTAGAAGATGTGGGCCTTCTTTCTTAAATAACAAATTACTTTCGCATCCAAAAAACAAAGCTGAAATGCAATGAACGCACATATCTATTAAGCATTTCAGCCGATATTTCAAAATGCGCATAAAAATAGATGGATGGAAACTAATCCTGGCGCATTTCTCTTCAAAAAAATGGCAACAGCAGCTTGACTTAATGTGAAAATTTTAGGCAAGTGGCTGGACTGATATAGACTGAATTCGATGGTGTGATCTCATCTCAGGATCTCACTCACCGTCATTTCCTTTGCACTGCTGGATTTTGAGGATGGGATCTTCCTCGGAGCTGATCTCCTGCCAGGACTCGCTGTCTGCACTTTGGGTCTCTGTACGGCTGCAGACTGAAGAAACCAGTGGGATCACGTCCTGAAATGGAGAGGAGGACGAGCGGGGAGGAGGAAGACAACCCTAGGACAGAGACACACACAGAAACACAGACGCACACACACAAATACATTTAAAATATAATAAGGATTCGTCTAAATCTAAATGCAAACACCAATTTAAATTGTACACTGTAAAAAATGCTGGGCTCCACACAATCGGCTTGTGTTGGGACAACATGAAGGAATAAAGGTAATTTATTTATTTATTTATTTTTTACAAATTTAAGTGGATTAAACATAAAACAATTAAATTGTTCAAAAAACACCTTAAGAATTGTGTTTTTCCAGCTCATTTTAAATAAATAAACAAACAACAATCTTTAAGTGTGAATGGCATTATTTTTCTCCAGTCAGATTTGCTTCTAATATCTACTTAGCTTTGGTTTCTAGTTGTCAAAGTAACCTCTGCTCCTATCCGATTGCTGACTGTTTGATAAAAATTGTGAAATAAATATTAAATATTAATCTAATATATTTAATTAATATTGGAAACAATATATACAATATATACAAAAATATTACATATGACAGCTTTTTATATTAAAAAACTAAATAACTTAATAAAAATTATAAATAAAATAAAAAATAAATTAATTACCATCTAATAACTACATACCCTCCTAAATAATGATCTGCCTAACTAGCGAACTACCCGTCTACCAAACTAACTAATTAACTCATTAACTAACTGACTAGCTAACTAAATTGTCCAAACCTTTGAACAGTAGAGCATGTCTAAAATAATTAAACAAACAAGCTACCTAAATAACAAACGTGCTACTTGCCTATTTAACTAGTAAACTAGAGCTGCCAACAGAGCTGCCATTTTAGTACAGGGTACTAAACACACACACACACACACACACACACACACACACA